ATTCAAGATTGGGAAAAGTCCCAATCTTGAATATTATATATTATACTTGGCCCTAAACTCTCTTTTATAATATAGTAGAATAGAAATAGAAATATAGTAGAAAAGTAGAATAGAATAGAAAATAAAATAGAAAGTAGAAAGTAGAATAGAATAGAATAGAAAGAATAGAATAGAAAATAGAAAATATGTTAATATACTATACATTGAATCATTTGATTTCTTTTTGTGTTTACTTGTTTACTCCATATTTTTACTTTTTTTTAATAAATTTTTTGACTCAACTATTAAATACATTGATATTTGTTAGTTGTTACTCTAAAGTCATTTGGTGGTAGGGCCCCTTCTTTATGTATATTACATGGTAAGTATCATCCCTATGGCTTATCTTCAACAAACACACAGCAAATATTCTAGTCTACATTATTTCTTGCAATTCCACTAACAACAATTTTTCAGCAAAAAAAATGGTTGATGAAGTTGTCCTTTTGGGTACATATGTGAGCATGTTTGCTGTGAGAGTAAAGATTCCCAATCTTGAATATTATATATTATACTTGACCCTAAACTCTCTTTTATAATATAAATATATAAAGTATATAGAAGAAAGTAGAATTTAAGTGAGATCTTCATCCCTTAATAAACATACTCTGAATTAATCAAAAATAATTTTATGAGAGCAAATGTGAAATGTACATACATATATATACAAAAAGAAGTGTATTAATTTGGTAAAAATAATTTTTATAAGCAAATGTGAAATGTACATACGTGTATATACATAAACAAGTGTATGAATTTGGTAAAAAATGAATTCTTCTATGAATTTATAGAAAATAGGATGAGAGCTTGAACCATAAAAGGAAAGGTGCTTATTTTGTGGAATTTATTTGCATAAACATTTAATAATTGGATTTTGGTTAAAGTAAAATTAAGTAACGGATATCAAGGGAGAATATTTTTAAAAAATAAATAAAATGTGAACTGATTGTTTATTTCCCTTTTATGCTAATGTCCTCGATTTTTATGTATGATTCAACGTCAAAAACCACCTAAAATATCTATAAATTTCGAAATCATATTTGTATGTTACAGTTATAGTTTGCATAATTGCGCTCCATAGCAAATTTTAAATTTGCTATGGAGCTTTTGATTTGTATAATTCGCTAGATACATCCAGTTTTATACAAATTGTTCAGTTTTGTATAAATTCATTTATACATTGTAATTTGTATAATAAGATTTGTATTTGTATAATTATAAGTGTATAGGACAAAAATATATGTATTTGTATTTGTATATACACTTTTCTCTCGCTTTATACAAACACAAACACATTTTATACATTTGTATACCGAATGGGTAATTGTATACCGAAAATGGCTAATTGTATATCGAATCAGATGACAAAAAATTGAGATGTTTGCTGCGAATTACAAATAAAATAAACTATGGCTATA